CCTATCCTACAGGTCTACAGTTCGATTCCCTTCTACCCTGTGACCTACGAAAACCTACCTACCACTGGCGGTCCTACAGGTAGCAGGTTCAAATCGGTTGACACCGGTACTCTACACAGGTAAGATGGGGAACTAGGGATCGAGCCCTAGGATCTGCATCAGCTACTGCGAACTGGTGAATACTGTTTCAAATCAGCACGTTACAGGGTAACAGCCAGCACCGGCCAGCGTCGTTCTAGCGTCGGACAACCACAGATCCATGAATGTACCAGTATCAAACAGCCTAAAGCGAGTTGCTAGAAGTCCCTAGAATCCTAAAGCCCTCTCAAAACCACCCGTAAACAACCAAAACCAACGGACTTACTTCTGAAGAATAAGAACCAATTGAGATAAGTTCTTTTTTTTTTTTTTTTTTTTTTTGAGATACCGGGGCCATTACCCGACTTTCGCTAGGAATGATTTTTATGCCTTCAAAAAGCAAGAGGCTGTGAAAAGACTGCAAATCTACTGAAGAAAGCTTGGATTCTATTATTGTAAAAAACTTACCTATAGATCCACCAACCAAGGAGACTAGTAACAACAACAACGATAAAGACAACAACGCCTGCACCGCTGACAGCAACAACAACAACAGTGACAATAGCCGCAACAACAACAATATCATTACAGGGGGAGAGGAGTGGGGACCTGACGAGGACGGGGAGGAGGGGATTAGTGTTGAAAAAATATTTTATTGTCCCCCCCAACTTTCTTTTCCAATGTTGAATCGCTTCTCGATGTGTGGCAGYAGATGGGAGTAGGATAGAAGATGTCCCCTCTGTTGATTGGAGTCATCCAGCCCTCGATTTCAATCAACAAGGAATGTTGACTGTCCCTTAGGTGGGAGGTAGGTTGTTTAGGGTTTTCACGTGTCTGATCTGTTTTGTGGAGTGTTTTGATGATTGCTTGTTGTGGTGGTTGATGACAATGCTTTTCGGTAGGGTTAGGCTTTGATGGCAGGAGGTCAATCCTTCCCTGTCGCAGAGAAGTAATCAATGGCCCGGCTGTCTAGAGTAACATGGCAATACATCA